TACCGTACCAGAGGAACGCAAATATAAAAACTTCTTTTCTTTACTCAAAAAAGCGAGAAACACCAATGCGTTGTGGATGTACACACTGCTGGGTTTGTGAATGACACTACGAAAAATAAACGTCACAATGCCGAACGATAGCATTTCTGAAAGCTAGTTTAATTATCCGCGCTGTACTTGAATTTCAGGAATAAAAAAGTGTTTAGGCCTACACAATAAGTAAAACTGCGGAGCGGAAACTGTATAAGTAAGACCTGGCGGCACGCGAGGGATAGCGCTGATCTACCAGGACAAAATTAAATACTACTTTCCGCAAGTCAGAAAATTAAGAGATGTGGTTATGAGCTATGAGCTCAACTAAATTACTGCCTTAAAATAGCGGTACTTTTGTTTCAATAGTGGGTGAAGATGACCGTTTCCATGACAAACTTTGGCTTCATCACTGCGGCAGTGTTACCACTTACATTTTCCCATTTTGCTCTAAATGTACCCATTCTTATTAATTTTATTTCTTCGTTGAAAGGACTTGCGCTGTTTGCCTTCTTCACTGACCCACCTATTAGCACGGAGGGAGCGAATCATCGCGGCAAAAAAGAGGGCCAGGGTTTCTGAATTGCATCAATTCAAATGTGGGCTCGCACTTTTTATTTTCACCTTCTGCGTGATTGTTACCCTGAAGAACGGTGCCGACGAGAGCATAAACATAGAAAATATTTAAAATAATAAAAACTAATACACGAAGTGAGAAAACTTTTAAAATAATAAAAAGTAATACAAAAAGATGAGAAAAATATTTAAAATAAAAACTAATACAAAGAGGTGAGAAAAAATATTTAAAATAATACGAAATAATACGAAATAATACAAAACAAAATAAAACGAAATAAAACAAAATAAAACAAAATAAAACAGAAAGGTGATAAAAAATAATTAAGAAATAAAAACGAATACAAAAAAAAAGCGAGAAAAAATATTTAAAGGAATAAAACCGAATACAAAAAGATGAAAAAAAAAAACCATTCAAAATAAAAAAAAAAGTGTAAGAGAACAAATACCGCTTCCCGCGGTTGGAACCAACGACCACAAGCTCAACACACCAGAGTGTCAACACATTACGCTACCGCCGCCCGGATGTCCTTCGCACTCTTTTTAGAACGTTAAATGTCGGCTAAATTGTTGTTCATGGTTTTCACCATTGCAAGCTTAGTTTCGTATTTATTGTTTTGCAACATGTTCAGGACTTATTCATAATATTGTAGCGAAATTGATGTGCGCAATAATTTATTATTGGTGTGTATTTAATGAGTTTTATAATGCGGTTTGCTGATCGTTTTATTTCAAACGTATTGAAGATACGAATACAATCTTATCGAAGCAACGGCCTATGTTTCGCACGTTTTGCCGGCCGTGTGCGTTTGAATGCCTGTGTTGATGACGGCCGGCTAACGGTCCAATTATCCGATTAGTGGTGATGCGTGAAGTTTGCCTTAGTTTCAAACGTGTCCGACAAAGACGGAAGTGACTGTGGGACGTGGAACTACGTCAAATCTGCTCAACAGCCAAGATCATGGAACGGGATCGAAGTAAGTTCGTGTTTTGTTCGCTAGGGGCTAGATTATTTCCTGCGTTCAAAAGGCTTGTTATTGTCTGCAGATCGCTTGCTTTTACCAGTATTACTAATTGTACGCGAATGGTGTTATGCGAGGCTGTTTTTCTTTTTTTCCGATGCAGAGGCCGTCTACTCGCTTAAGGTCGATCAGTCGCGGCGGAACTCTTTGGGAGACGGATTGAAATGTGTGTGTGTGTGTGTGTCGGGGGGGGGGGGGGAGGGAGGGAGGAGGGCGGCAAAGGCGGAAGAAGAGGGTGGGGGTTGATTTCCTCCCTCCGCCGTATTGTTTACTGGTAAGCTACAATGTTTGGAAGAGCGCGGTGCCCCTCCATCGCCAACGCCACTCTCCGCACTTGCGTGCTGAGAGCTGGACCCGACAAAAACAGCGATTAATTGATCGAGCAAGTTCGTAGCTTTCGCCGCCCCAGTCGTCTGCAGACGCCTTCATTTTCGCAGTTCGTACCCAGAAAAAAAATTGCCAAAAATTGGTGCCGCGATGAATTTACCCCATGGTGATTAATGCAGAGCATACCACTTCCGATCGCAAAAATTTGTGCCTGCGAAATAATTTTTGACGCTGGCATTAATTAATCGCGAAATTTCGAGCCCTAAAGATTATTTGCTGTACACGTGTTTCGTATGATCCAACGCACGTGTAACGAATTTCACACCGCCAAAAACACTTTTTTTTCCAAACTCTGATCTCCACGAGATCACAATACCAATGTTTCTGTTGTAGTGGTACGGCAGAGTCTATACTTGTTTTGCTCCAGTCTTTATAAGGGGGACGCTGTAATCCGATTCTACTCAATTATGGTGTACTAGATAGCGCTATATTTGCAGAGCTAGTCTTCTTTTTTTTGTAGTTGCATCGAAATATATTTCAGCTTTTAAGTTACTTGTAATTTAGCATGTAAATCTACAAGCTTATCTACATTGAAGGCAGCAAATATCTTGCCAGCACTCATGCTACGTCTTTGAAGTATATTGCGTTAACATAATTGACCAACCTTTGATTTTTATTTGTCAGTGCCTCAAGGGAAGCAAGGAGAAGGAGTGGATCCCTGCCCCTGCCCGTTTCGATCTGGATGAACATCGTACCGGCGTGCGGTTGTGTATCACTACTGCGTGGTGCGCGTTAAAGACCCCAGGCTAGCAGTTGTACCGCGCTGGCTAAATTACTCTACAGCTGAGACAGCAGACGCCCACTGAAGCAAGCTAACTTCCGACTGTATAAACATAAACACAATTTTTTTTTTTCAAAAGGAGTGGGATTATGTAGAGAAGCTAGTGGGTTTTTCTATGGGTACGAAGCTGTCGGAAGTAAGGTCAGAATGGAAAAAGCACCACGAAGTACCGCCTGGTCCCAAACAGCCATAATAATGAACACGGAATTCAGAAGAATAGTAATACGAAGGACTTACGCAGGCAGCCACACTTTCTGAGTTCGCAATGACATTTGATTATGATCACAAATATTCCTGCTTTGCTCAAGGTGGCCTAGTTTACACACCATATTGGTGATCTTTAGTGCAGCAAGAATATTTTTTCTCAGAATTAAACGTCGTTGTTAACTGAACAAATGTAGCTGTCTGTGTAAGTCCTTCGTGTTTTTATTCTTTTTACTTCTGTGTTCATTATTTCATTTTTTTTTTCATGATTTAGTCCTTTTGTTTTTGTTTCTTATGTGTTCATTATTTATTTTTTTATTTTTATGAGATTTTAGTTAAAAATATGATGCCCTCGTCATTTCCTAGTCCGGGAAACAGTGGTGACCTTGTCGTGTTCAAGGAGCAGTAACGACCTTTTCATCTTGTATAGCTTCCGCGGCGAACAACGGTGTCTGTGTGCGTGTGTGATGTGTTAATCACACGGGAATATTTGACGACCGAACGGAAAAACAAGGCCAATGAGGAGCGACTGGGGGCTTTGAACATCACACGGTGCAAGGAAGGACTTCGACGACGAGGCTAGCAAGCAAGTGCTTGTCAAAACTGCTGTGCTCGACCGGAGGGTTGAATCAGGACTGTGACTCTGTGAGTGAGAATCAACAATTTTGGAACTTCCGTATAGTTTAGAACTTAATTGTTGCCTCCCGTTTGTTTTATTTTAATAGGTGTCTGTGTGCTGATACATTTTTAGTTTATTTTAATGGTTGTCTGTGTGATATTACAGTTTTGTTCCTTATAATTTTTTTCTTGAACAGGGAAGTGCTTGTTTGGAGTTTTCACGCTTTCTTGTATAAAACTTCTTGTGCAAACCATACTCTCCGTCTGCTCTCTCGACAACCAATCCCGCCAAAGGGCTGTGAATTTCCGTCGTCGAATGATATGTTACAATGTTTTCTAACTAGCGATCGCCTACATTCTATCTTTGTAGCATACATATTTGTTGAATGACAAATTCCGACCCAGGCCAATGAAGATTGGTCAGTGGACTATTCTGTAGATATATCTACGTGAACACACGTTTGGGGCAGTGTGGGATAGCAGTACGATGTATATTTTGCGGATACTCATAGAAATGCGTTACATGATCCCATGTCTGGACCTGGAAAGTATGGTAACTGTCCCATGACAGTAATTTTCATGTGATGCCAGAAGGAGCATCACATGAAAATTGCTTTATATGGGGTGGGTACCCTATCTACCAGACCCAAACACGGGATCATATAAAGCAGTCTATATATGGTATATAAGGAATTGGGCAGATATGGGTATATAAGGAATTGGGCAGATATGGCTATATCCATCCAGATATGGCCCGATTGTGCATATCTGGCCATATCTGCCCAATTCCTTATATATCCATATCTGTTTTTAATATAAGTCCAGATATGACATTTCTGTAAGGGAAACCTCCTTGAAAGTACATTGTACTAGTTCAAGCACTTCCCAACAATGTCTTCATGTATTCGGGGGCTCCGTTGACTGCTATTTTCTTACTGAAAATTTACAAAAATCGTGTATAAGTATAAGTAACTTTTGAACATACAGTAGATCTTTCCTTTAATTGCAAGACCGCGACGTCATGTCAAGCAAGCAAGTTTTGCATGACTCGATCCTGCTCGCAATTTTTGGTCTCGCACAAGAAAAATCCCGTGGACGCTCAATTCTCTCCCCCCCACACACACACACACGCACGCACGCACACACAAGATATAATTATGTAAAACAAGTTTTGGGGGTCTCCGGGTTCAATGAATATATACTACCAGATTTACCTTTGGGCCACGGCAGAAAAGCTAGCTTTCATTATCACACACATGCCCCTTTCTAGATCATTACTGCTCCAGCTTCCAAAGAAATAAATATAGAAGCCATCTCGTTAAGATATACAGGAGGCGGCTTTCATTCAATGAGGCAACACTTCTATAATCAAAACGCCTAAAGTCGTAATGGAGGATATGTTTATTCAAATAAAAAGGCAACAAATTGCCCTCCCTATAGCACAGTCTGCTTACCACATATCGGCCTTTCAATAAAACGTTAAACGAGTTGGTAACGGTAGCGCAAGTCTGTCCACCATTCACCGCGAATCCAACAGCAAGGTCGCCTTCGCCAGTCAACAATATTTCAATTTGTACCGTCTGAAGCCTTCAGAGAGACCAGCACCAGATCGGAAAAGCCATACCGACACCCGCTATCCTTTGTTCAATACATAGCATACAGTGCAGTGCAAGCTATGCGCTTGCTGAACCAATCAGCCGCCTCCCTTTCATCACCCGACCTTGCTCTCTGCGCGTGGATATGAATGAGGTCCAGGTATGGGCGAGGTCGAGCGGCATCACGTGGCGAAAGGGAGACGTGTGATTGGACCAACGAGCAGCGTAGCTTGTATACCGCACTGTCAGCTTACGGGTAAACAGAGTCTAGCAGGAGGTTTTTGATTGTTCTATTGACTCCGGTAGCGATACACGATGCCCCACCGACACCTCTGTGAGCGCATCGTATCGTCATCCGGTATCGTTATCAGAGATATCGAAATGATCTACTAGATTCCCTTTGATGCCATCGTGAACCCATGGCGTGATCGGTGTCTTCACAACGAGGGTGTAATCACGCTGCGGATGGCCCGGCCCAGCCAGACTTCGACAGCCCTGGCCCCCGGATCGACGTGCTTCAGGAGGTCCGGATTGACGTAGGTGGCCCGTCCAGCACGGGGCTTCATGCTGAGCGTCAGGGCCACAGCCGCCGACATGGCCTTCAGGGCTTCGTTCAGGTTCCTCTGGACCCCTACGGAGTCCAGGCAGCTAAAGTCCTTCTGGAGTTCCGTCAGCGCTGCGTCCAGGGTGTCCAACTGTAAGAGTTAGTCAATGTGATGAAGCTCCCCTGCGGGCGTGGAGAAACCCCCCACAAATCCCTCTTTTGGAGCGGAGAAACTCGTCCGTGGGTGTCGGAAAACTAATTCCCCACGGTAGTGGAGAAACTCTCCCCGCAGCAAAAACGCATCGCTCGCCCGCGATACCATGTGGAAGCGGTGAAATGGACCGCTCACGAAAACGAGAATATTTCAGTTGTCGGTTCCGTCTCCCGAAGACGACAGCAAGGAGGCGAGAAGAAAAGCTGTGATGTATCAGTGGTTGATGTCCTCTTTAGGGACGCACGCGCACGTCGGAAATTTCCCGCCTTGCCGTGGAAGTTGCGACGTGCAAAGCACCTGGTGTGTCCCGTTTGGACTTACAGGCCTTCAATAAGCTGTTGACGCATGCCTGGCATTCCGCAGAAGAGAGCTACTGCGCAAGATCAGAACAGCTTCCACAGCCAGATCGATGGCAGTGCGTTGAAGGCGATTTTTGAAATGATTTTATGGACCAGCAGGGCACGTACCATGGTGCGGTCTCCGACTTGCGCCATGCTGTACTTCATGACGAGCTTGACGCCGTGCTCGAGGGCGGCCACCCAGGCGTCGTAGCCCGAGAGGACAGTAAAGGCCTTGGCGGCGCCGTGGAAGAGCAGGCTGTACAGGGCGCCCGATGTGCCTCCCATGCTGGAGCTGGCCACGTGAGACAGCTGCGCCATCACCAGGCCCGGGTAGGCCAGGCTGGGCCGGCTTTCCAGGTACGCCAGGATGCCTGCGCAGGTCCAGTCGAGCAACGACGCGGTTGATTGATTGATTGATTGAGTTTTAATGGCGCAAAAGCATCTAAGGCTAAAGAGCGCCAAAGTCTGTGACTATTTTATGAATGGTTTCTAGAGAGGAAAGAGGGCTCGAGTGGCCAGTGATAGAATAAAAGGATGTGCATGAATCTGTATATAAATAATGTGGGTGAAAGATTTAAAATTGCAAAGCAAGTTTAAAGTTGACGTAAAAGTCCAGTGCTTTCTAGGAATTTAAAAACATTTGCATGAGGTATAAAAGGTTGATCTCCAAGCAAAAGAGCAAGGCGTAAAGGCATCTGTGCTGAATAAAACTGGGCGAAGTAGAATTGGCGGTATCTGTGATATGCGGGGCACTCAAGAATGATATGCACTACAGTTAATGGTAAATAACAGTGTTCGCATGTAGGTGGATCCTCTCGGCGAAGCAGATACCCATGTGTTAGATGTGTGTGGCCAATTCTTAACCGACAAAGAATTACTTCGAAAAAACGGTCCCTACGACGGGCACTCGCCCACTCCTGTAGCATCGGCTTCACAACATGGAGTTTGTTGTTGGTTTCGCGGGACCATTCCTCTTGCCTTTACACCTGATACTTTTCTTTATGGTCGTTTTGTAATCTTGGTAGGGTATGTCGTGAATATCAACCTTCCTTGAAGCACATGTGGAAGCGGCACGATCAGCAGCTTCATTGCCGGGAATACCCACGTGACTAGGCACCCAGCAAAAGACTACCTGCAATTTGTTGTCCCTAGCCGCAGCAACCACTTTATGTTGTAGCTGAGTTATTAAAGGATTTTTTGCTATCTCAAGGGATCGGAGTGCTCTCAGGCTCTCAGAGCACTTAGTGAATCAGTGTAAACTACAGAGTATGGATGCCTATTTTTGATAATATAGTCTGTGGCCAATAGTAAACCGTATAATTCAGCAGTCAAGATAGTTGCACTGGAATTCTCCGCACACATTTAAGTGATGGTCCAATCACGGAACAGCCGACACAAGAATCGGTTTTTGTTCCGTCGGTATAAAAGCTGGTGTAGTCTTTATATGTATTTTGTAGCTCAAAGAATTCCTGTTTTAAGACTTCTGGTGAGGTATTTTTCTTAGTGTACTCAGTAAGTGACAAGTCTGTGATGAGCAGACCACGTTCCCATGGTGCCACTGTTCCCAGAAGCTGAGCAACAGGTGGGTTTGTCCCAAGGCTAGCCAAAACGGCCGCGGTCTTGTTCCGCAATGAAAAGGGAGGCTTAACAGCGGGCTTGCTTTGGAAGGTTCGTTCCAAACGTGTTCCCTCTACTAGTTCCCAACACGAATGTTGTACTACAGACCGTATCCTAAAAGAATACGTTAGACCTAGGACATCTCGCCTTTTCTCTAGAGACATTTCATTAGCTTCAGCATAGAGGCTCAGCACAGGAGATGTATGAAACGCACCGGTGGCGAGTCGGATCCCTGCGTGATGGATTGGATCCAACATTTTCAGTGTTGATGCACTCGTTGATACATACACCAAACATCCATAATCTAGGCGTGACCGCACAATCGATTTATAGATTCTTAGGAGGCACAGTCGATCGGAGCCCCAAGTCATGTGGGAGAGAACTCTCAGAATATTAAGGGATTTCTGGCATTTTTGTTTTAGCATTTTGATATGCTGGCTGAAAGAGAGCTTGGAGTCGAATATAAGCCCTAGAAATTTATACTCTGTTTTTACCTGAACTGGTGCATTTTATATGGTCAACGAAGGTGTCGGCATCACACCACGTTTTCGTGAAAAACAAACACAAGCAGTCTTCTCCGTGGAGAACTTAAATCCGTTATTGTCAGCCCACCTTGTCACATTATTAATAGTCAGTTGAACACGCCGTTTGCAGATTGCGAGGTTACATGAGGAAACAGCGATCTGGAGGTCATCTACATACAGCGAGTAGTGCACTGAAGGTGTATGACACGCGCGATAGAATTGATTTTTATAGCAAACAGAGTAACACTTAGGACACCGCCCTGTGGAACGCCGTTTTCCTGTATGAACCATCGTGAGTGTACAGACCCCAGCCTTACTCGGAAAGTGCGTCTACCTAAATAGATCTCAATGGCATGGAACATGCGGCCCTGGATGCCAATGTCAATCATGTCCCTCAAAATTCCATACCGCCAGGCAGTATCGTATGCTTTCTCAAGATCGAAAAACACAAAGAGGCAGTACTGTTTATTGACGAACGCCTCTCGAACAGTTGTCTCCAATCGAATTAATTGATCCTGCGTCGAGCGGGACCAGCGGAAACCACACTGGTATTTATCCAGGATGCAATGTTTTTCCAGGTGCTGCATCAGTCGCCTATTAATCATGTTTTCGAGGGTTTTACAGAAGCAGCTCGTCAATGCTATTGGCCTGTAACTAGTAGCAGCATCCGAGTTCTTTCCTGGTTTAAGCAGAGGGATAAGTGTAGCCGTTCTCCAAGCTGATGGAAAACGTCCCTCTTCCCATATTCTGTTGAAAAGGTATAAGACCAGATCAAATGTAGACGGGTGGAGATGATTCAACATGAGGTAGTGGATACCGTCAGGACCAGTTGCCGAGGGCTTGACGCTATGAAGGACCATCTTTAGTTCAATAAGAGTGAAGGATCTATTATACGGTTCCCGTGCACCAACAGCTGCCTTCATGGTCCTGGCTCCTTTCTGCTGTTTTAGCCGAAGAAATGATGGTGAATAGTGCCTGGAACTTGAAACAGATTCGAAATGTTTCCCGAGAATATCGGCTTGTTCCTCTAGACTCTCTGGACAGGTTCCATTGCAGGATAACAGGGGGATGTTGAAAGCACTATAGGATCCATTGATTTTGTTAATTCGTTCCTAGACCTCCTTCGGTGATGTGTGGCTTGTTATTGATGTCGCATACCCTTGAAAACTGGTTCTTTTCGATTGCCGGCGAATGTACCGTGCACGGGCCTTCATTTGCTTGAAGTGAAGACGATTGCTTGATGTCGGATACCGTCGAAATATGCTCCATGCATTGTTTTGCTTTTTCGCGCTTCTGAGCATTCTTCATTCCACTAAGGCTTGGGACGGTGTGGGAGGCGTTCCGAGGTCATGGGGATTGCCATTATGGCCTCCTGAAGGATACATTTCGTTAAGTATTCATTCACTTCATCAATTGAAAGCTTGTCAAGAGATGTGCATGCGAGCAGTGAGAATTCACTGAACTCTGACCAATTTGCCTTCTCAAATTTCCAGCGGGGAGTCCGGCTGGGGAGGGTTGCACCTGGGTTATTTCGTCTTAAAATAATCGGCATGCGGTCACTGCCTAAAGGATTATCTGTAATCTGCCGTGTATACAGTGAAAATAAAATAGGCTCACTTATAGAGAGGTCAATTGATGTAAATGAGTTTGTGGGTGCACTAAAATATATAGGTTTCTTCTCGTTAAACAGACACAGATTTGTAGACAAAATGAACCGTTCAACAATTGCTCCACGAGTATCGTGTCTGGTACTGCCCCACAACGGATTGTGTGCATTAAAATCGCCCAGAATAATGAATGGATGGGGGAGTTGAGCAATGAGTGACTCAAGGTCTTCACACCTTAAATGAAAGTTTGGAGGAATATAAAGGGAACAAAGGGTTATTAGGCGGTCTGACAGAATGCGAACAGTCACTGCCTCCAAGGTGGTCTGCACCGGAACCTCCACGCATGCCGCTGATTTTTGCACTACTATGGCCACGCCGCCAGAAGAGTAGGACGAGGGATCTCTATCCTTGCGGAAAAAATGAAAGTGCCTAAAGACACTTGACTGACTCCCCTTCAGGTGAGTTTCCTGGAGACACACTGCCAGTGGACGATATTCCTCCAACAGGGAGCAAACATCGTCATAATTATGCAAGAGACCTCGGCAGTTCCACTTAATAAGACTCATTGTCGGTAACGAGTTTGAAATTCAGGACCTCGAGTTGGTAGCCCTAGCGCATAAGCAGCTAAGGTTGTAATGCACCACTCACAAACTAGGGTTCTAAGAAAACATCTAAAAAAGCCGTTTACAATGCCCTGTAACGCCGGTTAGAGCACAGCTCTTGAGGAGGAAGATGGAAGCGTACTGAGGGATAGGCGACTCCTTGAGGTCACGTGACCTCAAGGGGGTCACGTGACTTCAGGGGGTCACGTGACCTCCGGGGGTCACGTGACCTCAGGAGCTCACGTGACCTTTGGGGGTCACGTGACCTGAAGGGTCACATGACTTTAGGAGGTCACGTGATCCCCAGAAGTCACGCGACTTCAGGGGGTCACGTGACCTTAGGGGGTCACGTGACCTCAAGGGGGTCATGTGACATCAGGGGGTCACGTGACTTCAGGGGGTCACGTGACCTAAGGGGGTCACGTGACCTCGGGGGTCACGTGACCTCGCGGTTACGCCGACGCCGACGGCGACGGCGACGCCGACGCCGCTCAAGCCGGAAACGGGCCCCTAAGAGCTGCGCTCTAAAACAAGTTTAATAAAAAACAAAAGAGGACATGAATGGGTGTGGATGTCAACAGGAGGGCAGTTCCGATCAAACCTTCGGGGAAAAACAAATAGAGGTAGTGCCCCAGGCGAGGGAGTCGCCAATAGTCCTCTGGCTGATCCTTTTGGAGCTGCCCTCTCTTACCTCCAAGGGGGTTGAGACTTTGGGCCAATGCCACTGGCGAGGGAGTCGCCGTTATTCCTCTGTCCCAACTGATCTATAAGAGTGAGTGAGGTAATGCAGGTTAGCGACAAAGGACAGTGATGCTGTGAGGTGTATGAAGTATTAATAAACATTTTTGGGAGAGTTGAAACAGCATCCACGACTAAGCACTTGCTATGTGCCAGCTTCTGGACCTGTCGCTTTAGTCGTTTTCTTTGGATCCTCAACTTTTGATGAGATTTTACCGCACTTCGGGGCAGGTGGTGGCTCCGGCGGACTGCTGGAGACATCCATTGCCTCAAACTCGCGATG